ACGAAAGGAAAAAAAAAAAAATAGGAGGGTGCTTGGATATAAGATAGTTCTTATTTTGGTTGATTTTTTTTGGTTTTGCATGGTAAATTTTGAAAGAGTGGTATAGTTAGTTGTTAGGAATATTCGGAATATATATTAAAATAATATTTAAAATAAAATAATTAAAGTTGATTTGATGTAAAAATAGACGAGAAATATATGGAGTGATAGTTAGTTAAAAGGAGTTTTATTAATCCAAGGCCCGAAATACGAATAAACTATCAATGCGGGGTCTGAAAGATTTTTTTTCTCAATTTAGGACTTAAATGTTATAAAACTATCAAATTAAAGACCTGAAAGATGGGTAAACTATCAATGCGGGGCCTGAAAGATTTTTTTTCCTCAATTCAGGATTTAAATGTTATAAAACTATCAAATTAAGTTTAGAATTAACAAAACTCATAACATCATTAAATTTAGAGTTAAAAAAAGATTGGTTTTTCAATTTAGTTTAATATATATATATATATATATTATTTAATTATTACATTTTATTTTCATATTCATTCACATTTTTAAATTATCAATGCATATGAATGAAATTTCAATAAGCATAATAGTCAATTTAAATATAAAAATCTTATTAATTATTTGCTTAATATAATTACTTGCATTATTTTTTTAACAACAAACACAGATATTTATGAGGACAAATACTCAAGAGTACGACTGGTTATAAATTATGTAAAAATATTTGAATGAAAAAGTGATTTAAAGAGAAGAAAAAATTGATGGAAGAATGCAAAATTTTTAAAAATGTGAATGAATATTAAAATAAAATGTAATAATTAAATATTATATTTTTTTAAAACTCTAAATTTAAATTTTTTTTAAACTCTAAATTTAATGGTGTTATGAGTTTTGTTAATTCTAGACTTAATTTGATAGTTTTATAACATTTAAGTAGTGAATTGAGAAAAAAAATCTTTCAAGCCCCTCATTGATAGTTTACCCATCTTTCGGATCTTTAATTTGATAGTTTTATAACATTTAAGTCTCGAATTGAGAAAAAAAAAAATCTTTTAAGTCCCGCATTGATAGTTTACCAATCTGTCGGGCCTTGTATTGATAAAACTCCTAGTTAAAATTATATAGTGAATTCAAGTTGATGTAATTGTGTAAGAATAATTGAGTTGTATTATTTTATTATGTTAATAATACTGAGTATAGTAAAGTTGAGTTAAATTTGAGTTAAAAAAATAATTGGTTAAAAATTAATGAATTTTTTTTTAAAAAAATATTTGTATCCAAGCATTGTCTAGGGTTCTGAATAGTGCACATGGTCCCTATTTATACTAAACCTATGCATAACTAAAGTTGTCAAAACAAATGACAACTTCTTGCTTATTGAGAATAATAAAAGGACAAAGCAATAAAAACAATGCTAAATTCATATATTGTCACCCCCGCAAGCTGAAAATCCACATTGTGTAAGTTCAGCTTGGAAACTAGAGAAGTAAAGGCAGGTCCTGGTAAGGCCTTGGTCAAAGCATCTGTCAGCTGCTCTTTTATTGGAATGTACTGCAGCTGATGACCTTGTTAGCAAGTTTTTCCGTGACCAGATGATAGTATATGTGTTTTGTCCTCTCATGGAACACTGGATTTGCAGCCATTGCCATTGCTGATTTACTATCTGTAAAAACAACAACAGGTTGTGTGTGAGAAAGTTAAAAATCGTCAAAGAGATATAATAACCACTGAATTTCACAAGTAGTAAAAGCTAAAGCTTTGTATTCAGCCTCAGCTGAGCTTCTACTAACTGTGGCTTGCTTTTTAGATTTCCAGGAAATAAGAGATTGGCCAAGAAAAATAGTGTACCCATTAACACTTTTTCTACTATCCAAGCAGCTGACCCAATTACTATCACTATAAACAATTAAATTTAAAGAAGAAGATCTAGGAAAGAGTATACCTTGTCCAGCAGTGTCTTTAATGTATCTCAATATTCTATGTGCAACAGATAAATGGATAGATGTTAGTTTGCTTAAAAATTGACTCAAACAATGGACAATATATGAAATATTAGGCTTTGTGATGGTTAAATATAGAACTACCAATTAACCTTCTATACTCAAAAGCATCTACAAGTTTATCCAAATTAGTGTGTGTTGTGAACTTACCAGTGGAGTCTATGGGAGTTAGAGCATGTTTGCTGCAAAAAAAAACTTGTGTCTTTGAGAATATCTAAAACATATTTTCTTTGACACATGTTAATGTCATGTTCAGAATGTGCAAACTCAATGCCAAGAATATACTTTAGATACCAAGATCTTTTATTGTAAAACAATTATGCAAATGATGTTTAATGGTGGTAATTAATGACAAGTTGTTACCACAGATGAACATCATCTACATATACAAGCAGGGCAATGAAATCAGAATTGAGAGACAATGTGAATAATGAGCAATCAACTACAGATTGCTTGAATCCATAATCAGTCAGACAAGAGGTCAGTTTCTTGGAACCATTGCCTTGAGGCCAGGTTAAGGTCATAAAGGCTTTTTAAAAAGTTTGCAAACTCTCTTGTCAGATTTGTCACAATAACCAAAGGGAAGGGACATGTACACTTCTTCATGCAAGCCACCATGCAAAAATGCATTGTTAACATCCAATTGATGTACATGCCAATATTTGATGGATGCTAATGTAACAAGGAATCTGACAGTGGTGATTTTTTTTACAGGTGAGAAAGTGTCAAAGTAGTCTATGCCTCCCTCTTGAGTATACGCTTTAGCTACTAATCTAGCTTTATTTACTTCTATGCTTCCATCGGATTTATACTTTATTTTGTGTACCCATTTACAGCTAATAGTATTTTGCATACTCTTGAAAAATTGTTCAACTCTGTTTATTAACTTTTCTATAAAATACCACTAAGACTTATTCTATATCGACTTATTTTAAGGCATAATTACAAAAGCTAATCGAAGGTGGTTGCCTTAATTACCACTAAGCTCAGTTTTATTAATTTTTATATAAAATGCCCTCTTGAGCATGAACAACTCTTTTCGGAGATTATAACTTGGAATAGTCGAAACAATTGTCTGGGGATATATTTATTTGAGATTTTGAATGTTGTTTCGGTGGTTCAGCAACACATGGGAGTATTCATCGACAATTGTGTGTGTGTGTGTGTTTTTATAACTTGATGCAAGAGTATTCATCAACAAATGCAGGAGTATAATTTTCATAGTAATTATTACTGTTTCTTACATATATATACATTTGCATACTCACTAACTTTCTTTTGACTTTCTATGAGTGTTGTATATTTAATCATGTTGAGAGACTCATTTGATAAATTTCAAAAATGGTCCACTATGTTGGCCATTTCCGAAAAATGTCCATCATTCAAGGGGTCATAAAAAATGGTCCACTAAGTTGCCAATTTAATCAAAATTCGTACAATAACCAACATAGTGTACTAAAAGTGATATAATATTTAGTTGGCTTTTGTACGAGTTTTGATTAAAATGACAACTTAGTGAATCATTTTGAAGACGCCCTATATGATGGACCATTTTCAGAAATGGCTAACATATTGTGTACTAAAAATGAAACTTAGGCGAGACTCATTCATGTCAAGTAATTTCAATCCACTTTTAAGAATGCCGCCAAATATATGTATATGTACTATTTGAGTCAACTAAATATATTAATAAGGTTAGACACATTTGAAATTGCAATTTTTGGGGGCCGACAAAAAAAAAAATCAATATTTCACAGACTAAAAAATGTTCGTTAAAATGTCAATTTAACGAACACGGACATTATGTTGATTGAAAGTGTTAAGGCTGACAAAAAACCAATCACTATTTCATAATTATGGACTAGAAAATGTTCAGTTATGTATGAACTCATCATAACTGTAAATAACAATAAAAAAAAGTCAAACAAGTATGATTATCTAAACCGTAACATTGTTTGCGTTTTATAGGTACAATAAGTATTTTTTTTTTTTTTTTGGTACATAAACGGGACCTAGGGCCCGGAAACTACAATACTAGAATGCGACGTGGGTAGTTCACCCCACTTATGTCGTGGTCGAGCCAAGAGTCCAGCCCTTGTGGAGGTGCCGGGACCCTATGCAGTCCTAGGGGAGAGTCAGCCGCTAATTTCGCCATCTGGTCAGCCGCAAAGTTGGCTTCCCGGTTCACATGAAGGATCCGAAGGTTCCAGTTTCTGCTCATCAATTCCCTAATGGCCCGGACTAGTGAATCGTTTGCCCCAAGGTCCCTTGTGGCCCTAAGATCATGTTCATCACACATTGACTGTCGACTTCAGCTACCACTTGTCGGAATCCTAGGTCCCAGACCAACGTTAGCCCTTGAAATAAGCCCCATAATTCAGCCCCGGTGATGGTACCTATGCCAATATTCATAAAAAAACCGTCAATCCATTTACCCAGAGCATTTCGTACCAATCCACCGGCACTACACAAACCCGTGGTGCGATTGAAGGCCATGTCAGAGTTCATTTTGACCCAACCCGGATCCGGCGGTTGCCAATGAATCATGCAGAGAGGAAAGTGGCTGCACCTGCATGTGTGTAAGCCTCAGAAGCCTTCGCATATGAGTCCGTTCGACGAAGAACTTCCATAACCCGAGCCTCAACTCCAATCAGTCGGTTCTCAAAACGTCCGTTCATTCCGCCATTTCCAGGAGCTCCAAGTGCCAAGCGCAAACCTGCTACTCCAATTTTTTACTAGTCCTCGCGGCGACCCGATTAAATTACATCGCAGCCACGATCAGAGTGGCTGTTGGAAAAATTCGCGTGTATTACCAGACGGCAAGAGTCAATTCCACATTTTCCTTGTTATGGGGCAGTCTCGCAACACATGTATCGTAGTTTCACTAGCTCCACGCGCCTCACATTCTGCCGAGGCAGCGAGATGTCGCTGGAATCTCTCGCCATTGGTCAGCAGACGATCATGAGCTGTTAACCACAGGAAAGAGCGTACTCGTTGCGGCACTTGGGTGCGCCATATCAGTTTCCATAGCGCGCGGTCCGGTTCACTTTGTTGCGGGGTTACAGCTTTATAAGCAAGTATTAAACAATTATAACCAACACATCAAATATATATATATGTATATATATATATATATATATATATATATATATATATTAGTAGAGAATACATATAATTGTTAGCAGAGAATAAATATAATTGTTAATGTTGTGTGGCTATAAGATCTCAACAGTCGTATGGTGAGAAAAAAAAAAAACACATCAATTATGTAGACAATATTTAAACCCGAAGTATTTTAAAAAATGGGCGAAAAAGTTGTGTATGCACTGGACATGAATATACGCCTTTGTCATGCTTTTTTTGCTAGATTGTTGTGTAAATATTAATCTTTTTGTTTTCAACGCACTTGCTCAAATATTGTATTCCAACAACAAAATTTTGCATTGTTTAGTTCCTTATATATTGTTGTTAAGTTATTTGAAATTTGCATTTATAAATGCCATAAAAAATAGGTATGTGTATTTTAAATTTTGACAAATAATCTTTGTAATTATAGATTGGACTAGGGTCGGCAGTGGCGTACACAACCATCGGGCCAGCTAGTATTTATATAAAAAGGTAAAGTTGGTTGGTTCTTACAATGAAAAAGTAACTAAAAAGTATGTTTTAAATTGAAAATAACATAAAATGTAAACCTTCTATTGAGAAGAATAAACTTCAGGTCTTAAATTGATACAATTTCAAAAGATTAGGTCTTGTAATAAGATTTTTCCATTAATTTGACTAGCTCATTTGTTATTGGGCCTACATTATTATATTAATTTTTGGGTCTATAATATATTTTGCCCAAGGCCAGCACCAAGAGGGACGGGCTGCAAACCCACTCAGAGTCTCATGTTGATTTGTTCATGTTCCTTAGACAGTTCGTCGATCCATCCATCAACATCCAATGCCGAATTACCAATCCAATGCAACAAAAATTGAAGAACAGTCGTCCAATTAGTCTCATCATCAAAAGCAAACACTGACATGTATCCTCATACATGCAGCTTTCGTCCAATTAGTCTCATCATCAAAAGCAAACACTGACATGTATCTTCATACATGCGGCTTTCGTCCAGTTAGGCTCATCATCAAAAGCAAACACTGACATGTATCCTCGTACATGCGGCTTTCCCACACACGTGTAGAAATATCATGTATTGAATATGTTCGGAGACCAGACAATAAATTACATACGAACAAAATACTCACAATTAGCAGTAAATATTAAATACTACCTTGCCGATCTCGTTTTCTTCGGCCATCCCTTAATCCATACATTCTATTTACTTCTTTTACGTGCAAAATAATTTGGTAGCTAATCGTCATCAACGATATCAGGGGAGTTTTATTATAGAACTTTCCATACTAACTTTTACTATTTTGTTACTATATGTATAAGTATGACCTATCTTTTTTGTCAGGATTGAATTAAGTTCATGCATACCTATTCAAATATAACCGGTTTTTTATTTTTTAAATTTATATTTTTGAAAAGTTTGATCTACAACAAAAACGCCCTTCATTTTTTGTAATGTATTTGTTGTACTCAAAGAAAATATATACAACTTAATACATTCAAATAAAATGCTTGCTCCTTGAACCACTCCAAATTATATCATTGTTATCTTTCGACATTTACAGGTAAACTTCACATTTTACAACTTTTTTTGTTGATCTAAATTCACTACTTTTTTCATCATTGTGGTGTTAATCTGTTGGTGTTTAAATGATAGATTTTTATCTATAAATTATGTACTTCAAATTGATTAAACATATTTATACTAACGCTAGTTTTTTGCGGCTATGACTGAAGAAGGGAGAGAATACTGAGTCGTTCCGAAAATTGAACTAAAATTAATTCAAAAGTTCAAATCGATAAGTAACAATTATTCGTTTGACTTTTTCCAAACCGAACCAAGCTGAAAAATAATTTGTACGGTTCTAAAGATTTCTTAAATATTCGTAATAAGGACTGAACATTATCATTCCACATTGTATCGAACTGAAGTTAAAAACCGAACAATGACATAAATTATGTCTTGGTCTTATTGACTTTAGTCCTGTGTATAATTAATAGAATATAGTAATAACAATTAAACTTCACTCAATTTTCAAAATTAATAATGTTCGATCAACAACTAATATTTATAAATTTTTACAAGAATTATATATATTACATTTGTTGCTACTTTCCTTACTCTAATTTTACATTATAGTTAAAATGGTAGAAAAAAATAGAGAAATAATATTTTTTTTTTTTGGGAAATTTTATTATATTTTGTTAGGATTTCAAATTACTCCCATTGGTAGCAAGAATTTAGTTCTAACTAAATTTTAATTTAATTTAGTTGTATATTTTCTATTGTTGATCTTAAAATAACATATTTAATATGATTATATATTTATGAATGTTCGAAAGAATATATAAATATTACTAGATAGTCATTCGAAATTTTATTGGAAATAATTAGAAATCTCTTCAGCTCCAATCAGAATCCAACCGTACAAATATCCCCACCCAAACCGAATAATAAAAAATATCAAAATCAAAACGTTCCGATTTTTAGTACAGTTCCAGAGATCAAATTAGTAATCTCCAAATTTCGTATGATTCTAAAATATGAATCACCGAAACATACCGACACATGTTCACCCCTAATGCATGCCATTTGCTTACAAGATAGAACACACATTTCTTTATTACTCATAGCAAAGTATAGTGATAATGTTGTAATATTCATTTTCGGTAGTTTGAATGTGAATATCAAGAACACACATAAACACATACAAGCAAGTAAAAACTACCATATTTCATTATTTTGAACAAAGTGTTTCCTTTTCTTTTTCTCAAAAAGAACCTAGATTCTGATAGCCAAACCGGTTAAGCTAATGGCACAATCATTCAATAACACAATCATTCAATAAGTTGACCAGTGGTTGAACTCGGTTAGACCGGTAAAAAATTTATTACTATATATAAATATGTACAGGTACAGTATTATAAGTAACAAATTCTAAATATAATAATATTTTTCATTATATATTTGATAATTTGAAACACTGAAAAGCCTAAACTAATTTACATAATAATTTATACATGTTTTTTATTATGAAAATATAAATAACAAAATCAAAACCAATTGTATTGAATAATAAAAATAAATACAAGAATCAGGCCAGGTTTTTTCAAGAGAATCGGACTGGTAAGCAGACCGATTCCCGGTAGGATTTTCAGAACTGTGAAAAGAAAATGAAAAATAACAAATACCCAATTTTTTGGCCTTTTTAATCGACTTTTCCTTTTCCCTTATACATGTAGTTCTTTTCCAGTTGGCCACCCAAGACCGATTTCAATGTGTTTTTTTCCCCATTTTATACTTCCATATTTATACGTTTATAAAAAGTAACTTACATAAAATCAGAATAAAGCATAATATATTGGATGGAAATAAGGAAAAATTTTAATGTATAATTGTTATTTATTAATTTCATAAAAATTGAGTCACAAAAACGTCATAATTGATATTCATTTTTTTAAGAATTGTACAACAACAGAAGTAGCGTCATGCATTTGTTAACTGATCTCATGATGTTGATTAACACAAACCTGGTGAGGTTGCATCAAATTTTCTTGAGAACGGCCTTCAAGTGTGTCTGTAGGCTTGTGAGGTCCGTTGCCATCTCTACCACGTAAACCAAATCACCATTAACCATTTCAAAGACTCGAGTTATCTCTTTCACCTGGCACCATAAAATAAATAAAGCATTACCTTAATGTTGATTGCCATTTTGCCAATGTTTGACCAACAAAATTCAATTAACCTTGGATTTCGTAAGGCTTATTAAACAACAGCAAATTCAAAAGTTGAGGTGTCTCAAAATAGAGATATTCGAGAGGTCAATTTCAAGATTACCAATAGAAACAAAACATGTTCTCTAAGTAGAAATGATCATGAATGATACCATAAAAAGAATTCGTAAAGTATCTATGAATCAACCTTGGAAGCATTCCCAACAAGTTCACTCTTTAGCTTCACACTCCTCTTCTCTGCATCATACTCCCCTTTCTGTAAAGTCGAAGCAAACGTCATTGCTTATAAAAGAAATGGAATGGCAATGAAACCGATTACACATGTGAAACTATAACAATCAGAACCTTATCATAAGAAGGAAAAAGAAAATGTAAGAATTGATTTAAAAGGTCGATTCTTCTCCTGCGAGACTTGACACTTGACAGGAGAAGAAGATCATGTATCCATGTTCATGCTTAATATGAGCTGATTCCATCCACATTAAGCATGTGTATTAAGCATGTGTAAGTTGGAGGTTTTTAGCTCTTTTACTTTTATTTTATTCTTTTTTGAATATTAAGCATGTGTAAGTTGGAGTTTTTGACATTTTTCCCATAGGACTTGGAAATACCAATTACATATGAATTATATATGATTCATTGCATTTTACACCCTACACTGACCAAAAGTTAAAACACTTTAAACTCATGATAAGTAACAATTACCTCCTACCCAGTAATGGGTTAACTGTAAAAAATACAACGTTAGGCTTACTCATGCAAGAAAGAGATATTTCCAGATTTGAGTAAGCTAGGTACATAACTCCAAGTAGCATGGTGACAAGATGCAATTATCCGAACTTCTTATACTATAATACAAGCCCTCTCTCTAGTGCATTTCTGAAACTGATTAACGATTGAAAGCAAAACTGTGTGCGCCTTACGGTACGTAAGATGGTTTAGCGAATTGAATATGTTCACCGTTCACAGTATTTCGATTAAATCAAGCCTACGACTCATGCAGAAATTTGTGAACATTAAAACATATACAGCAAATGCATTGCACTATTCCTAAACAATGTAATGATTGGCTTAAGTTTAAAAGGTGATAAGTTTTGAGTTCCGCAGTGGCTTTGATAAACATGAAAAATGAAAAACCGGCATGCAGAAGAAGAGAAGATTTGGCATGATTACCGAGCAAATATTAGATTCAATTGTGAACGATATTTCTCATTTTGTTCAGAGCTATAATACCACACCACACAAACCAGCAAAAACAAGTCATAACAATTCACTCGAGCATTCGAAACAGAACCATATTACTACTAAAAGATCGTGC